CCCCAAAACCCCAAAACCCCAAAACCCCTTAAAGTAGAATAAATTAGAATTCGCCTGACAATTAATTTGAGAAAATGAAATTAATATTATTTAAAAATGAGTATTAAACTAGATAAATAGGCTTTAGAAAAGATTAAAAACTACAAGTATCAGACTCATGGGCTAACTTTCATTGAGATTAACTCCTTTGAACACTTTTGGAACTTTGTATTGACATTGCTACCCGAGGTAAAATAGTTGAATGATGAAACATTAATAGACATTGGCACCAAATATGATGACTATCTGCGGCCTTATTTTCCCAATGTTGCATTTCATAACTTTAATATACTATGATTGGACCTTTGACAGTATTCTTCCTCATTGGTGGTTCTTGCATGGAACTTTTGCAATCTTTTGGTATCAAACAATTGATGCAGTAGACGGAAAATAAGCTAGGAAAACTGATAATTGCAGCCCCTTAGGTTAACTATTAGATCACAGTAATAATTTTCGCATAATAACATCATTATTACAGACCTTGATTAGATATCTTATACAATTATCTTTTTATCTGTGTGTACTCTGTGCAGAACAGGCCATGATTTCTGGACGATAGTTATGCTTATGCCTGCAGTATTTGTAAGATTAAATGAAGACTTAAATTTATTTTTAGACTCCTCATTACTCAATTGAATACAGAAAGCATTTCACAAAAATTCATGTAACAGTGGTCGGTTTATTTGGTGCAACAGAGTCAATGCTAATAATGATGACTGGATTTATGGGTTGCTATTTCCACTCTGAAGCTAATCAGGGTTATCAAAATTACTGTAATTCAATTCATTCATTCAAATAACATCTCTAATAGTTGAATTTCTCGGGTTTTAGATGAATGTAGTTAAAATTATTTTATATGGGTCATTTATTAGTGGACTTCATTATAATCTGACTAACATTTACTTCGGTTTCAATGGGGCTCCTACTACTGAGAGAGCAATTTAAGCTATTTATCCATATGTCTAATTATACTTCATGGCATATTTGCAATAGTATTCCTAATTTTATACTAAAATGCCAATGATTTTTTATGCAGGACTCGGTATTTACTAGACTTATGTAGCTGGCTTGTTAAACATTTCCTCTACAGCTGAGATACCATTTTAATATCATTATTGGGAGGCATACACTTATATAGTGTTGATATTAATTGATTTTAATAGACTACTACCAGCACAGTTTTTAGTAGGAGGTTATATCTTCCTGGTCATTGTTATTTCAATAAAGTACGGATTATTCTTATACAGTATTATAACTCAGCTTACTTCTTATCTTGGTATAAAGTTACTCAAAGTCAAGCAAACTAGCAAGAAAGTCAAATGATCAAGACTTTAATTAACCCAAAAACCACCTCAACTGAATATATTTAATTCATAAGAACTTAATTATGTATCTTATTACTAATTTTAGCATTCTCCACGGGGTTTTGGGGTTTTGGGGTTTTGGGGTTTGCTTGAC